AGTGAATCCAGTTTAATGACATTTCTGAAGCTTCACTTTGTACTGCATTTTCCCATGCTGGGACCCACGAAAATATTTTAAGTTCTATTAAGATGCAAAGAAAATGAACTTTTAGGTCAAAGAAAATGTTTTACTCTATAATATTAGCATATTTGTCTTTAAGTAAGTAAATAGCATCATGAAAGTGTTTTGGTTTTTTTTATGGAGGAAGAGGCTCAGACAGGAAAAAATGCCTATATATTACAGTAAAAAGTTCTCAAGTTACAAAAAAAAAATGATGAGGAGGAATCACTGAAGTTCTTTAATACAGGAGACTGATCCTTTGGTCAATTTCCACATCATAGTTTTGCTAACCTGAGCATAAGTAAATAAATTTTTCAAAAATTTTACATAACATTATGTATAATTAAGCAGGTGCACATCTTAAAATTTTAAATTTTAGGTTAGGTTTTAATTCTTAGATGTTAGAAATATTGACAATTAAATAGTTTTTCTGGGATGATTTTTCAAGTTGAGATAAATCCAGATGTAAACTAAAATCAGGCCAATACCGAAACCGGTTTGGCTCAGTGGATAGAGCGCTCGTCTGCGGACTGAAAGGTCCCAGGTTCGATTCTGGTCAAGAGCATGTACATTGGTTGCGGGCACATCCCCAGTGGGGAGTGTGCAGGAGGCAGCTGGTCAATGTTTCTCTCTCATCGATGTTTCTAGCTCTCTATCCCTCTCCTTTCCTCTCTGTGGAAAATCAATAAAATATATTAAAATAAAAAATAAATAAATAAATAAATAAAAATAAAATCAGGCCAATCCAAGAATGACACAGCATTGATTTTATGTGTTTGAAGAGCATTCCAGAAAGCAGTGTGGCGAGGAACAGTTAGTCGACTTAAATTTAAAAGGATGGTTTTCTTAAGGAAAGGGTGGTGAGGGAGAGGAGGAGGAATCCTATGTTATTTATGAACTTCTGTGGGAACATAAATTTTTGAAGACAATCTACTTTTTAAAGAAACACAAAGTCATCTTTCATGTACTTTCTAGCCTCTTACCTATTTCCTCCAACAATCATAACAGGTTATAATGCCGAAACCGGTTTGGCTCAGTGGATAGAGCATCAGCCTTGGGGATTGAAAAATCCCAGGTTCGATTCCAGTCAAGGGCATGTACCTTGGTTGTGGGCACATCCCCAGTGTACAGGAGGCAGCTGATCAATGATTCTTTCTCATCGATGTTTCTAACTCTCTATCCCTCTCTCTTCCTCTCTGTAAAAAAAAAATCAATAATATATATATATATTATATATTATTATAAATATAAATATAAATATAAATATAAATATAAATATAAATATAAATATAAATATATATATATATATATATATATATATATATATATATATATATATAAAGGTTTTGAGTTTTTTCAACAGATTGAACACTATCCTCTTTTGCCAGAGTTAGAGCTCCACACTGCCTCCAGGTGCCTAGAAGAGCAACCTTGCCACTAGAAAGATTCAGAATGAGATGACTCCCCCGTATACAGCATGACTGCTCCCTCCACAGCCTGTCCAGCTAGACATGAAGAAATAGGTCTACCAAGACAGAGAGAATAAACATGTTTGATCAGATTATTCTGGAGGCGAAAAATTAATTTCTTGCTTGTCTTTCTAACAGTTCTCCAAAGCTTCGGACGTTGGCCAGAGGTTTGTCTCCTGCATACCTGAGATTTGGTGGCACCAAAACAGACTTTCTCATTTTCGATCCCAAGAAGGAGCCAAGCTTTGAAGAGAGAAGTTACTGGCAATCCCAACTCAACCACGGTGAAACTGTTTAAAGATTAACCATTTATTTTCGTTAAGTGGCTAGTCAGGGGCATTCAGTCAGATTCAGCTGACTGAGGAGGCACCTACACAAAAAAAGGAAGCAGCGGGCAGGTTTCCTCTTCCTGGTGTTTTCATGAATGTGAGACCTCGGCAAACAAGGGTGTGCTGGGCATACCCGAGAGTTAACTGTGTGGAAATAGAACAGTGACAGGACAGAGCTGCTTGGAGAGGGGGTGTAGGTAGAAATGCCTCAGACTGACGAGAGTAGTTCCAGCTGAAGATACAGCAGTGGGTTGAGGCCATTTTATTCTGGGAATATAGGGTGTCCAAAATAATGTGTACTCACTTAGAGTGATTATAAAGTCAGTGTCTATTAACATGTTTATGAACATCTAGTGCATTTTCAAAATTTAAAAGAATCTATAGACATGAATAATTTTTCCCTTAATGCCTGCTTCCAAACTGGTGGCCCTTCTAGTCCTAGTGCTGCTGATAATGGGAAGCAGTGGAATTGCAAACATAAAGAATCATTTTGTTTGGCCATGGCCGGTGTTTCTCAGTGGTGAGAGCATTGGCCTGAGCACCAAAGGTAGTGGGTTTGATTCCTGGTCCAGGGTACATGCGTGGGTTGAGGGTTCGCTCTCCATTCCCTGCCTGGGGCTGTGCAGGAGGCAACCAGTTGATGTCTCTCTCACATTGATATGTGTTTTTTTTCTCTCTCTCTGTCCCTTCTTCCCTTCCACTCTCTCTGGAAAACAATGGAAAAAATATTCTCTGGTGAGGATTAACAACAACAAAAAAAAATCATCATTTTGTTCAATATTTGTGCGCCCTCAACTCATTGACTGTTGCCAGTTTTGTACTGTAAACTTTATATTTTATGTGTCCTCATAAAAAAAAAGTCTAGTGGCACTGTAGGATAAATTTTCTTTGTTAAAAGCTTAGCCTGGCTTCGTCCATTATTTCAAGTCAGTAAAACCTGAGAAGGAGTGAAAATGGAGTTATCAGCTGTTAAAGTGTGTATACATTTTGGCGGGATACCCTATAGACTGTGCATGAAAGACATAGGAAGAGGATGTGAGATATACCCTGCTTCTAAGGGTAGAATTTAAGACTTAGTGGGCAGTGGTTCTCCAACTCTATTGACTATACACCTGGAGTGAGTTTTAGTGAGTTTTATCTAGGCTCCTACCTTAGTTTCACGTTTGGCAGCTCCTCCGGTAGTTCTGATGTGGGAAGTGTGTGGGCTTCACCTGAGAAGCCTGCCCTAGGAAGCCCCGAGGATTTGCCCCATGTCTTTGCCCCATGTCTTTCATAAGTGCTATAGAGACATCAAACGGGTCATTACTTTAACAATTATTTTAAAAACATACATTATTGAATGATTATGGACAGTATATATATATTAATGAATAGTATTTCACTTTTCATATATTACATATTTTCCTTTTATTTATTTTCTTCAGTTATGAAGTATTTAGAACAGTTAACCATGTTGGGTCAAAACTGATAGAATAAGGGGCTAGAGAAGGGGAAGGAAGGAAGGAAGGAAGGGGAAAGGAGAATATCTGCAATATTATCAACAATAAAAAAATATATTTTTAAAAAATTGATAGAATAGTAATTAGAAGAAATGAAAAAGCAGGAGGCTTTTTAAAAAATAATACATTGGCTGAAACCTGTTTGGCTCAGTGGATAGAGCGTCTGACTGCAGACTGAAAGGTCCCAGGTTCGATTCCAGTCAAGGGCATGTACCTTGGTTGCGGGCACATTCCCAGTAGGGAGTGTGCAAGAGGCAGCTGATCGATGATTCTCTCTCATCGTTGTTTCTAACTTTCTATCCCTTTTTCTTCCTCTCTGTAAAAAAAGCAATAAAAAATATATATATTTTTAAATAACACATTGGAATAGTTTACATTTGGACTTGGCCCTTCCCCAGCAGTCGGATGCATTCAGAAGGTCTCATAAGTTCATACCAGAAACTGCCCTTTGCTGGTCAATTTTCTTCTTCCTGTTTGTGGTGGAGTGGGGGTCAATGGAATTATCCAAGTGCTACTGAAACATCCTTTGTGAGCACAGGGATGGACAAGGATTGGCTGCCAGAAAGCCAGAATGCGCAACTTCCCAGAAAGGAAGTCGTCAGTGGGTCAGCCAGGCCTGGCAGTGAGTGCCTGGCCGGCCTGCTGTCTCGTGATAAAGAGGCACAGTCTGCCTGGCAGGGTAGTGGGGGACTTTCCAAGTGCACATGTTATGGCCTCAGAAGCTTTGATGATACCAGATTTGAAGGAAAAATATCAACGTTTCCTGTCCTACCGTTATGGCAAGAGGAAATCACCATTAATCAGATCTAGTAAAACATGTTTCTTTGTATTTTGAAGGTGAACCTTAAGAAAACTGAACTATGTTTTCTTCAGAGGGGTTCTCTGGTAATTTCACATTTCTGAGGAGTTTTCTGAGTTGTAAATTAAAATTAGGTCCAGTGTTCCTGTGTCCACTGTATGGCCAATGTTTCTTAAGAAACCTGCCCTTGTGTGTGTGGGTGGTGACTGGTGAGCCAGCAAATTTGAGTTGTTGTAACAGAATATATTTTCTCTGATTGTATACCTAATAGTCAGAAACTTAGCCTACTTTAGCCATCTAAGTACCTAACTAAATAAATGTATGGGATTTCAACCTTATCATGAAAATAGATTCTCTAAATTCCTCCCATCTGCAGATATTTGCAAGTCTGGATTCATCCCTTCTGATGTGGAGAAGAGGTTACAACTGGAATGGCCATCCCAGGAGCAGTTGCTACTCAGAGAACAGTATTTCAAAAGGTTCAAGAATAGTACCTATTCAAGTAAGAAACCAATGGCACCCTGCAGGTGTCGCAGCCCTTAAATATTCGGATAGCTTGAACTTGGCCTTCAATCGTATAAGCCCTATAGCAGTTGTGTAAAGCTGCAAAATACTCAAATGTTAATCAAGAGTTAATGGGATGTTCTGCTGGTGTGGCTCATTGATTGAGCATCAATCTATGAACCAGGAGGTTATGGTTTGATTCCTGATCAGGGCACATGCCCAGGTTGGGGGCTCCGTCCCCAGGGTGGGTGGGGATATGCAGGAGGCAGCTGATCGATGATTCTTTCTCTTGATGTTTCTATCTTTCTCTCCCTGTCCCTTCCTTTCTGAAATAAATTTAAAAAGCATTTAAAAAAATTAAGTCTATATAAAAAAAAGAGTTAATAGAAATCTTGAACCCCAAACTTACGGTGTTTGTTTCTTGTCTTCACCTGACTTTGCCTACTAGCCACAGAGTAAAATGTAGAAACTATTCTTTCATAAGCTAATAATAACCTTAACTTCTCTGAAGAACTAGGAAATCAAGGAAGACATGGATGCATTTGTCGTACGTGTGGGATCCCCTTTCACGTCCCACGTGGTTCAGGGTTCCGGTTCAGGGTTCGGGTTCCACATAAATGAAAAGAGACTAGAAGAAATTTAATTTGGTGACATGGGGGGCCAGGCAGTAATCCAACTCTAGTGGGAGAACTACCCACTGCTCTGGCTCTGCTATCCCTTTTATTGAGGCTATGGGGAAAACACCCATAGTGCTTACACAGGAAATAACATAAATTTACATAGGACAAACAGAGGTGGAGGCTGCTTCAGCTAACAATGTCTCAACAAAAGGGTGAGTGGTTAGAGCAATTAATGTTGTTGACAGCCTTCCTGGCTTCCCGTCCACATCTCTCTATTAGTGAAACAGTAACTGGTTTCTGGCAGTATAAAAGTAAAACAGAAAAGTGTAAAGAGTGGAATGTGGAAAACCTTGTTGTTCATTCTCTCTCCCTCCCAGAAGCAACCCCTATTGTGAGCTGGTGAATTAGGCAGGGGAGCCCTGAGTCCTACCAGCCGGCCTTGGCCTGGAAGCAGCGTTCTCCTTTTCTTTCCTCTGTGGTTTGCAAACACATGAGTAGCTCAACTAATCAGGAATTCATTTCCATTCAACTGAAATCATTTTTCAATCTTCAAAATGGGAGGATGTTGTCACGCAAGGCTTTGAAGCAACTAAAACAAGCAAGCCTTATCTAACTGTGATACAAATTTTTTATCTGAAAGGTGATGTTTTCATACCCTCCTAAGGGATGATGTTGCCCCAGATCTCAGTTGAGGAAATAGCCTGCTCAGAGAGTCCACAACTGCCTTCTTTGGACTTTTGAAAAATAAATTACCTTGAAGTTAATTTGGGTTAGTAAGCATTTCTAAAAGTGCCTTATTGAAAGTAAAGTATCTTCATAAGATTTATCTTGTGCACTCTCTGGATTTCAGTGTATCTCATGAGTTTTTTAATTTTTAAATTTATAAGATACAGAAAAACACACACAACACATAAGAAATCAGAAATTGTAAGCTAATAGATAGTGTAATTCTCTAAAACACTTTTTGCATTTTATAATGGGGCAAGACTACTCTGACGTTGGTTGCACGGGATTTAGCATAGGGCAGGGCCACCTCAGATTCATTAAAGGAATGACAGAAGTACAGAGAGACCTACACAGCAAGGCCACCTTGGCAATAAACCTTTATGATAAAGGCCTGCTTAGAGAAGACACTACATCATTACATAATCTACAGATTCCCCACTTTAAAAAAAAAAATCATGTTAAACAGTATACCAGCTTATCTTAAATTTTCCTTTAAAAAAAAGGTTTGCTCTCACATGATTTTTCTAGAACCAACATGGTGGTTTTCAGCATCTTTTTCTGCCTGTCGGACTGGGACTTCATAGTTCCTATTTCAGGGGAAAGTTCCTTTGCTAACTACATAGTATCTGGGTCAGTAAAACTCCAGCCTCCCCCTTGGCAATGCAAAAATCTGTGCCCCATACAGATTCTTTATTTGTATTTGGAAACATTTGACTTCTGGTTTGAAATTCTTTATTTTAATCTGTGAGTCTTGCAAACCTATAAATAGGAATCCCTGTGTTTATTCTGGGCACTAACTCATTACAGTGATAAGTATTTCAGAAGCCAGTGGGAGTTTCCACACATTGTTCTGCATCCATGGCTGAGGTTGGTCACGCCTGAGTAACGTGGGGTGGCATCGCACGATGGAAGAGAGAGCAAGAATCTGTTGTGGCAAGGACACCTTGCTTTGCCAGTGGCCCGGACCCTTAAAACAGGTGTCCTAGAAGCTATAGGTACGTTTTCTCATTCCATAGCCCATTGGATGGTGTGTTTCACTTAAGTAGAAGATGACAAAAACATTTGTCATGAGAATATGAACTCACGCTGGAAACCTGCTAGAACAGGAAAGGAAGCAATGTGTTACAGGTATAATTCTGGGTGTGACTGCAGAAAGGAAGACTCTTATTAAAATAATCACATTCAATGAGCTAATTCTTAGCTCTTCTTCTCCACCTCTCTTCCTCATTATTACACTCCTCCACCCTCAACACCCAGCCCACACTGGATGCTGGACACTCTTATGCAAATATATAATAAGTATGTTATGGTATGATGCCAGGGAAAGAGGCAGTGCCAATTTTTAATGTCATTTACATTGCTTTTGTCCCAGGGTTCTCTCCATCCTCTCATACAGGAAGGGATAAGAGGTTGGATAATGACTGAGAGTTGGATAATTAGCTATGAGTTTTCTTTTTTTTTTTTTTAAGTCCTCACTCAAGGGCATGCTTAGAGAAAGGAAGGGAGAGTATTGGAAAAGGGGATGGGGAAGAGGAGCATCAGTGTGAGAGAGAAACATTGATCTGTTTCCTCCCATCCATGCCAACCAGGGATCAAACCTGTACCCCACGTTGTGCCCTGACCTGGAATCCAGTGGAAGCCTTTAGTTTAGGTGATGATGCTCAACCAACTGAGCCATTCCAGCCGGGCAGCTGTGAGTTTTATTGTTCAAATTTTGAGGAGGGAGTAGGCATTTTTTTTTAAGTGGATTCAAACGCAGTAATATGCAGCCCTTATACAAGGAGATGTTACTATTATGTTATAGGAGGCATATAATAGAATTTCAAGCTACATACATTCCAAGTGCATTTGGAAAAATGAAGAAATGGAAGAAGAGTAAAGTATGAGTTGAATAAATCTGCTAAAATCCAAACATTTCTGAAAATGCCATAATCTTTGTAAAGGGGCTAGGCAATAACAGTGCTTTATATCTGTAAGAGATATGCGTGCCTTACAAAGCGTTTTCACATGTGTGCTTTTGTGAGATAGGCAGATAACGGTACCAGTTCTAGGAATGCAGATCTGTAGCTGAGGCTCATGCAGGATTCCACCCCCAGCTACTCAGTCTGTAGGCGGGAGAGTGGGGTCTGGAACCCAGGACTTAGATTCCTGATCAGGACACTTTCTGCAATGTATAAGGCTAAAATATAGCTGTGAGTAGGCAGTTCCAGGGATTTTATAACAGACTAGTAATGGCACTACCATCAAAGAGCTGTATGATATTAGACAAAACACTTCATTTCTTTGGGTGTCCGTTTCCTCAAAGAAAAATGAGGGTGGAGGTTTGGAGAGGACTTAGTAATCTCAAAGGCCCATGCTGTCCTAAACTGCGGCTTTAAGACCCAGTGGAACGCTGGGCAGCTGGACCCAGAGAGCTTTGCACATCATAGTGTCCATGGGTTATGCATATATGCATACAAGTTCTTTGATTAATCTCTTCCCATCTGCCCACAAGATTTAGTTTTTAAATTAGGAGAGTTCAAGAGTAAATTTCTATTTGACAAATGCCTAAATATACATGAAAATCTCAATAACTTATTTAGCATATAATAACATTTAATGATAACACTAGCCCTAACCAGTTTGGCTCAGTGGAGAGAGCATCGGCCTGCAGACTCAAGGGTCCCAGGTTCAATTCTGGTCAAGGGCATGTGCCTTGGTTGCAGGAACATCCCCAGTAGGGAGTATGCAGGAGGCAACTGATCAATGTTTCTCTCTCATCAATGTTTCTAACTCTCCTAATCCCCTCATCTCTGTAAAAAAAATTAATAAAAAAATATTTAAAAAATTAAAGATATCACTAAAAATTACACTGTTGCCAGTCTCAAAAAGTGATTATAGCCGAAGCCGGTTTGGCTCAGTGGTAGAGCGTCGGTCTGTGGACTGAAAGATCCCAGGTTCGATTCCGGTCAAGGGCATGTACATTGGTTGCGGGCACATCCCTGGTAGGGGGTGTGCAAGAGGCAGCTGGTCGATGTTTCTCTCTCATCGACGTTTCTAGCTCTCCATCTCTCTCCCTTCCATCTCTCTCCCTTCCTCTCTGTAAAAAAAATCAATAATATATATATATATATATATATATATATATATATATATATATATATATTTTTTTTTTTTTTAAAGTGATTATAGACCAGCTAATAATTTAAAAATCTGAGTTCAAAAGTTCTCAAACTTTTATGGCACTTTAGTGACTCTGATTTTTTTTCACAGCATAGTTAGCCTAAAAGAAACACCTAAGAGTTTGTTCATAGGTTATTAGGTTCAAACAACCAAATAGTAATAATTCTCATCATATCCAACAGACATTGAAGTATGTCCTTTGCAAATTTAAAAGATCCTGCAATACCTGTGATTTGGGTTGCCTGGTTAACTATGAATTTCAGATAAATGATAATTTTTTACTGTATTTCTCAAGTATTACATAAAATATCCACTAAAAAGTATTCATTATTGCTTTGAAGTTTAAATTTAACCAGATATCCTGTATTTTTCTTTATTATATTTAATGATTTGCCATTGATTTATAAGATTATGTAGGTTTCAAGTGTACATTTCTATGATACATGATCTGCACATTGCATTGTGTGCATACCACCAAAGTCAAAGTGTCTTCTGTTACCATATAATCCCCTTTACTCAACCAGGGCAAGTGCCCTGACTGGGAATCGAACCATGACCTCCTGGTTCACAGGTCAGCACACAACCACTGAACTACATCAGCTGAGCTGTTTGTCTTTCTTGTTTGTTCATTTGTTGCTTTCAGGCTTATATCCCACTTGAGAGTGAAATCACATGGTTCTTAACATCCACACCAGTGAAGTCACGGTGGCTTTCCAGGGTGCCATGGCACATAGTTTGGAAAACAAGCCCGATAGCCCTGAGCCAGTTTTATAATACAAAGTCCTATTTGTTTTAAATTAATAAATCATATACATGAATTTTTCAAAAGATGTTTTTAATATAATTAAAATTACCAAGATATTTTTGTGACTGAGTTTATAAGTAAAGATATTTATATTATTAAGCCTAGGGCTTATGTTGACTGATGAAGGTCTGGCCTGTGCATGTTGAGCACTGAGCTGCTACAATCTGGTTTTTCCAATTCACCTGAGGTCATTTGAACAAAACCTGAGTGCCAGACCAAAGCTTCTAGTACCTTCCATGAGACTTGATTAAACAGCTGAAGCAAATGAAGTTATGTTAATATTTTTAATTTGCCAGGCCAATTTTGTTGTCTCTTATTCATTACTAGTAGGCCTGCACACAAATCCGTGTGCCAGTAGCTCACCGCCCCCCCGCCCTGCTGATCCATGATCTGGTTGTTACACAGTAGGTAGTTATGCTTCACAGCATAATGATCATTTGCATATTACATCTTTATTATATAGGATAATCACTCCTTAGGACAGGAATTCCTTAGATTTAACAGCAGAAATACCAGGTGTACCAGTTAATAATGTGGATTTTTTTCAATAGATGGAATTACACATCGTTGATGTATATACAATTTGATATGTATGCTATTTTGTTGTATTGACAGCAAGCTTCAAAACTTCATATGTCAAATTTTATGAAGGTGTTAACATCATAGATACTTTTATGCTTAAAAATGTTGAATTCCATGCCAAAAAAAGAACATTTGTGGTAAGTTTTAATTCGTTACTTTATTTTAAAGAAAAGTGCTTTTGAAAGTTATAGGATACTTTGGGATGCTTATGGTGAACATGCTCCATCTCAAGAAACTTGTGAATGCTGGTTTAAATGCTTTAAAAGTGATGATTTCTATGTGAAAAACAAAGAATGTCCAGGTCAACCGAAAAAGTTTGAAGACCAACAATTACAAGTATTATTGGATGAGGATGTGTGTCAAACTCAAAAACAACTTGCAGAAAAATTATACATTGATCAATAAACAATTTCCAATAGTTTACAAACGATGGGAAAGATTTTAAAGGAAGGAAAATGGGGCCACATTAACTGAACGAAAGACAAATGGAAAAAATAAAAGTCATCAGTAAAATGTTTCTTCAACTGCACCTAAGAAAGTCTCTTTTTTTTAAATATATATTTTATTGATTTTTTACAGAGAGGAAGAGAGAGGGATAGAGAGTTAGAAACATTGATGAGAGAGATTCATCAATCAGCTGCCTCTTGCACACCCCCCACTGGGGATGTGCCCGCAACCAAGGTACATGCCCTTGACTGGAATTGAACCCGGGACCCTTCAGTCCGCAGGCCGATGCTCCATCCATTGAGCCAAACAGGTTTCGGCCAAAGAAAGTCTTTTTTGCATCAAATTATGACTGACATGAAAAGTGGATTTATTTTGAGAATCCCAAACACACAAAATCATGGGTTGATCCAGGTCAATAATCAACATCGACTGCAAGGCCAAATCGCTTCGGAAAGAAGACAATGCTCTGCATTTGGTGGGATCAGGAAGATGTGGTGTATTATGAACTTCTAAAACCAGGTGAAACCACTAATACTGATTGCTGCTGACAGCAAATAATCTATTTGAACCATGCTTTGATTGTGAAACGACCAGAATGTGCCAGAAGACACAGTAAAGTAATTTTGCTTCATGATGACGCACCATCACACACTTCAAAACCAGTTAAAGACACGTTAA